ATGAGAGACAGTCCCTGGGATCTCCAATCTTCTGAACTGTACAAATACTCTTAACCAAAATAACATTTCTATTACCTTTTTCTTCAAACTTTCAAAAATAGCCAGTAAGACCCATGTGACACTGTGACTACTGTGCAAGCATTTCTGGGAAAACTAAATATATATGGGGCAACCCATAGATATTCCTTCAGGAATATATATATTCCCATATATAACCCCTTCAGGATATGGGAACATTAAGTTATTTTAATAGTTTTATTTCTGGAATTTCACATTTTGCAAATAGTCCTTAGCTAAAACTCAACCATGACTTTACTTTTAGTGAATTGTTTTATCTACCTAGTGGACAACACTAAGCAAAATTAGTTGATTATACAGTCAAACTTACAAACTTCAGAAAGCAAAATGTGCATTTTGCAATGTTAAAATCTATCAAGAAATCACAGCCAAAATCAACCTGCTCAAAATCTTCAGTCTTATTCTACAGGCAGCAATTCTAGAGTGGAAGTGTCCAACCAAATCTGTTCCCATTTGACAAATGAAATTTGAAAAGCAAGCAATACATCCATTGAAAGAGTTAATAATTGAATTAGTATCAGCAAAATGAGGTAAGATAGCCTAGGAGGGAGCTTATGGATAAAGGAGAGGTAGTTAATGTCATATATCTTAGCATAAAGGATCTTCTGCTCTGCCACAAATGATGTTCTCTTCAGCAAAGAAGGGAAATAAAATTGTGTTGAAATGTCATATTTCTGTAAACAGCTTGGAAATGAATATAAGACCTTTACACAAATTTCTATATAATTGAAAATATCAGAAGAAACAAGGAGGCAAAGGGAACAATTCTGAAAAGGAAATGAAGTTCTTCACATAGAGACAGAGATTAAAAATATATAGTGGTTTCCATCAGAGACCATCAATTCTCCTGGACCACAGACTTCTCTAGAGCAACCTGACCCAGCCCTGTTTTTTCCTAGGAGTTAGTAAGTGGAGTATTTTATCAAAGTATTCAAGGTATTAGCACATATTTGGATATTTATTCAACCTGTGCAATTTCTGTAAAACTCAGATTGACATTTCAGGAACCTACAAATGCAGGTTAATAATGCAGAGGTTTAGTTTTTTTGGGGTTGGGGTAGGGTTTTTTGAGGAAAAGAGAACAGAAGACTTTGAAAGAAAGACTGAAAAGAAGTTACCAGGTATCAGGTGAGCCCAGAAGACAAACAAGGCCTGCTCTTGGTCCTTTCCCTCCAGAGGTCTTTGGTTGAGGGGCTGAGACCCTCTTTTATAATGTGTTTCCTGAGGCTGTCTTCTCAGCAAGCCCACGTTGAGCCAATCAGCCAATTTTTTGGTGACTTCTAATCCAACCAGAAGCTGCTTTTCATTTCCCAGTGAAAAAAAACAGGGTTTGCCTCTGAACTTATTGAAGCTTTTCTTCTGGAAAATCCCAGATCACTCATGCAACACCTCTTGTGACACTCCAGTATGTGCAAGATACGTTGGGCCACCATGGTATGTGTCAAACATCTTGGGACATACGTTGGACTGGTCCTGCTGAGAAGCAACATCATCCATTGCAACACCAAACTTCTGTGTGGCTCTCTACACTCCCAATTAGTTTATTTTCTGTTCCATAAATATAAGAACACAGAATGAATGCATGGAACTCAACCAGTGTCCATTGGCTTGGTAGTTATTGGCCTCTAAGGATGCCCAAGAACATAAAATATACAGAAATAGGGTGAGTTTGTTGTGGTTCTGTCTCTGGACATCCTTCCAGCTGATGGAAAACAGATCCTAGTTTAGGTAAATCCAGTGCCAGAGGCTGGTTCTGAACCCTCAGGCTGCAGAGTTCCTAACTGAGCATTTCCCTCTGACTCTGGCTGGTCTCCTTGGACTTCTGGTCTCCACAGGACCTTCTGCTGGTAATTTCACATGTCTTAGGTAAGCATTCATTTCAGTGGATCATTCCTGTGGCACATTTATCTTATTTTCTCTTCAGTTCTATTCACTTTTTTGGGAAGAATTATTATTCACCATTCTGGCTCAAATTAAAACCAATACCCAAAATGCATCTTGGATTTGTGTAGTACCTAATAATATATTTCTTTTATATGTATATATTTATTCTTTTGGTTTTAGCTCCTTTTTATTCCCTTAATTCCTGACACCTCCCTTGACTTTTTGTCCCCAGGTAAACACTGACATTTGTAGAGGGGCATCCACAGTCTACAATTCTACAATCCACGGTCTACAAATGACCTTCTGAGGGCACTGAGGTTATTTAGCCTGGAGAAAAGGAGGCTCAAGGGAGACCTTCTGACTCTCAACAACTCAACTCCCTGAGAGGAGGCTGGAGCCAGGTGGGGGTTGGTCTCTTCTCCCAAGGAACAAGTGACAGGACAAAAGGAAACTGCCTCAAGTCATGTCAGGGAAGGTTTAGATTGGCCACTAGGCAAAGTTTCTTCTTTGGAAGAGTTGTCAAGGCCTGGTGCAGGCTGCCCAAGGAAGTGATGGAGTCCTCAACCCTGGAGGGATTTAAGAGACTTGAAGGAGTGATGTTGAGGGACATGGTTTAGTGGTGGACTTGGCAGTGTTGGGTTATACCACTTCAAGGTCTTGTAGAGTGCAAAAACCATTACTTTCTTTTGGTAACCTGGAGAGTTTGGACTGATCAGCCATTTGAGGAGAAGCTGAAGGACCTGTCTCTAATTAGCTTGGAGAAGACAAAGCTAAGGGTCATCTAATCGCTGTTCATAGTTACCTAATGGTAGCTGTTGTGAAGATGTAGACCCACAAAAGAGGTGCTCAGTGAAAGGATGAGAGGTAACAGACACAAATTACAACAAGAGAAATTAGAATTAGATATAAGGAAAAAACTCTGTCATGATGAGAGTTGTCAAACCCCCCAGGAATGGGGGCCCAGAGAATTTATAGAAACCAGATGTCCATATAGATATTCAAACTCAACTGGAAAAAGCTCTAAGAAACCTGGTCAAGCTTTCAAACTGGCTCTCTCTGGAGGAATAGATGGACCAGATTGTCTCCAAATAACCATTCCAACTTCCACTGGTTTTTGGTTTATTCCATAGCAAAATCCAAGTCAAACAATTCATAAATCAATATAATGAGGATCTGAGGAGCCTCAGCATGGTCTCTAAGATCTAGTGATCCTCTTCCTATCTACTGGTCTTACCTTTCACCAAAATATTTGTTGACATACCCAGTAACTATCCAAAGACACCAACACTAAATATTTTTTCAGAACATATTTTACTTTATGCCTTGCTTCAGTCAACAAACCATCATTCATGAAATATTTTAATATGAATCCTAAAGTATATCATAATAGGTTATAATATTTTTGCTGTTTTAAATGATTAGTGTTTTTAATGGACCAAGATGTCTGCAAATGCCATCATGTCTCACAGATCATTTAGTATCAAAAAAAACCTGAAATATTTTAATTGCTTGTTGGTTCCTCAGTTTAGTTACTAGTGATGTGACTCTTTCAATACTTTGATATTCATTTCTTAAGTGCACAGAGGTGTGCCCACGTGCATGCACACACATAGACACATGTGCATGAGAAAACATCCTACAAATTATTTCCCCTAAATGTATACCTTAATAAGTGAGATAACTTTTTACAAGTGAACAGTTTTGGCCATAGGAAAAACTGATAGTTGGATTTCTGGTATGTCTACAAACTTCTGGGCATAAAGAAGAAAATGGAAGGAATAAAATTGCAAAAAGTTGTGGTTACTTCACAACTCGCCAAGAGTTTGTGGTTAGCTTGGCTACCAACTGTTGCTGTTACTCAAGTGGATTCCTCAAGGAAACAAAGATGCATCATTAATTTTTACAGTGTCCAAGGTCCTGTGTGGCCTTAGTAAGATTTTGGTGTGTGGCTCTTAGGGAGGAAAACCTTTCCATACCCACCTGCAGCTCCTTTCTTCTTATGAGGAGGCAGTCAGACAGTTTTGTACATCAGAAGGGACCTACCAGTGCCTTGCCCTTCACAATCTCAATGTTTTTCTCTAGTGCCTTTTGCTGCTAGAGCTGACATAGCAGGATTGCAGTAGCACAAACTACAAGTTCCTTCACGCAGTCTTCATGGACCTGGGCTCCTTCACTTTCCAAGGAAAGTCTTCATGGAGAGTTTTCTTCTGCTTTATTAACAGGTTGCTGTTGTTTGCTTGTTTCATCAAAGTTCAGAACATGATCCAGTTACATTTCATTCTCTCCACATCCAGTCTTCACTCCAACTTCTTCAATTTGGAGTTCACCAAAGTTTCCATACTCCCAACCCACTTCAGGTCCAGATCACAGAATCATAGAATGGTTTGGGTTGGAAGGGACCTTCAAAGGTCACCTAGTCCAACCCCCTGCAGGGAGCAGGGACATCTGCAGCTAGAGCAGGGTGCTCAGAGCCCCGGCCAACCTCCCCTGGGATGGTGCCAGGGATGGGGCAGCGACCACCTCTCTGGGCAGCCTGGGACAGGGGCTCAACACCCTCAGTGTACAAAATTTCTTCTTTCTATCTGGTCTAAATCTTTCTCATTTAGTTTAAAACCATCACCCCTTG